GGCAGTGAACCACTGAATGCAAATGACTCGAAGCACAGTAAGCATAACATTTGGTGCTGATATTGTGTTTCGCATGACCAAACGGGTATCGGGTGAGGATATTCAGGGTCTTGAAAGAGAGGTCATGCATCGCGTAAAATATATTGTTTTACTTTGTAAAGCTTCAGAACAATGGTTATTAGATTATATGCTGATGAAATCGTGTTGAAATATTAAAAATATATACGAAACAGAGAGAACGAAGTCAGTCTGGTAAGGGATAAACAGCTGCGGAATCGGAAGCGCGCAGCAGTCAGAGTCAGACCCACTCTTGCTGAATGCTGTGTTGTTTGATGTGGCCAAATGGGTATCGGGCGAGGATTTTAAGGGTCCTAAAAGTGAACAAGCACGTTATCGTAAAATACCTCACTTTACTTCGTAAAGCCTCGGAATCGCTCGTAAATAAGAGAAAACGTTCCCCATACTCACCCCACAACTCTCAGCAAGGCTAAGTATCTAAGGTTCACCAAGGATTCATAATCACGGCAGTAGTATGGCATGAGCAAGGATTCAATTGATTGCTGAGCTCGAGGCTCATATTACAACCTCACACAAGGACCGCCGTCCCACTTTCTCGTCACTCTGGTCGATCCAACATCCAACATCATGCGAGACCATTATCTGAGATGAAAATCTTAATCTGCCAATTCTTGCGGCCGGTGTGATAGCACCCCAATACACTGATATACTGCTCCTGGATATGGTGTAGGTCCTTACACGCGCAGTCGAGATGGAACTTGTCTATAACAACTCCGCGCACATGCAGAGCGTCAATAACGTATTCTGAGGACTTCTGCAATCGAGGTATTTAGCATGGGTATCACAGTCTGTTATCCAAGGTTCAGCTACTTCATGGAATTTGAGGAAGTCATCCAACGCTGTGCGCACCCCGATAGCGAAATCCTGGCGTGTGACCCTCCACTTTCCGCTCAGCCGTTCCCCTCGACAAGGGAGGGGATGGCAGAATGGCTTATATCCTGGCCACTGTTGTTCCAAACACGTTAAATTCAGATCAGTTACAATTCCGAAACTACCATATACCCGAGGTGGAAGTATATAACGTACCATAATCCTGATCTCAACCTCCCGACTTGCGTAAACAACATTATCGAGGTCCCGAAGCATTTCAAGACGGAAGGCATCTTCCCCTGACTTGAGCAAGTCTTGCATATGTACCCCAGCCGCTCTCATGTTGAGAACATCGCGCTTGTACTCAAACACTACGTCTTCGTGACGCTTGCTAGATTCCCATTCAATATTATTGAATGTTATTGAGGTAGGAAGATGCGTCCCAATGGCGACCTGCAGTAGTTCGTTTTTTTGCGTCTTCCGGTCGCTCGTCACCGGAGTAGGGAGTAGCCTAGAGGCTACGCTTGGGGGTGGAAAGAGGGCAATGGCCCGAAAACCACTGCCCCACTTCCCAGGTCGAGAGCCGATGGACGGAGGAGGATGCGCCCCACCATCCACCGGCTCTCTAACCCCTAGGCTATCCCGAGTCAGAGTGACGGTGCGAAACCAGGTGAAGGTTTGGATGAGCTATGAAAATGGTAACATGGTGTTGAGTATTATATATATGGAAAGGAGCATAGGAATCGAAGAATAAGTCCTGAAAACTTGCCAATGATGAGTGCACAACAGTGGGAAGTCGAATGGAAAGAGCCACACAAAATAAAATGAGATGGTAAATGGAACAGAGGTGAAGGTGATGGTGCAAGTCAAGTGGTTAGGAGAGAGTGGCTAAAATGGTAGGGAGGGATTCAGGTCGACGACGGCGACACTAAAGGACAAATTGGGGTGATATATGAATGCTGGGGCTGACTAAAGACCAAAACAGCAGCAGCCGGGACTGGTAATGAAAACCAATAGCTGCGGCTATGTAGCACAGATGCAAGATGACTGAAAAGATAAAAGAAACTGGACTAGATACAGCTGGTGACACTGGGAGTCTGGGAGACAATGAAATGCGAAGAAACTTGATCAGATACTGGCAACAGCTAGTATGACTGCTGAGACGAAATGAAACAAAGGCAAGATTCAGATACGAAATCCGGGGAGCAGAACTGATCTAATCTAAACAGAGAGCTAGTGTGCAGTTGATATAGTGTGTTAAGAGAACTGACTATGAAATAAGGAAGGCGAGGTAAAAACAAGTAATGGATGAAAAGCGAATGGGGAAGGAAACATGAACACAGCCATGAAACAAATGAGACAAAGAAGGGAAAAATAAAACAGGGATTTCAAATGAAATGAGTGAAGAGGAGGGATCTAGGTGTAAACGGTGGTGGCTCCAGTGTGTATGTTATGAAATGAGATAAGGCATGGGAAAGTGGTGGTGTGCAAGATGGCTTGTGCACTTAAGTATGATCTTGATGCTGTGGTGCATGCGCAATGAGTCGTTGAATTCGTCTGAAATTGCAAGAGACGAGGGTACGTAGGCACACTGCTTATCACCAAATTGTGTAAAATGGGTGGTGAGTCTAAGTGTAAGGTGTTTCGTGTAGCATTGCAAATTGTATTGTTATCTTGAAAAGGCGGGTTGATGAGGTGAATTCAAGTAACAGTAATGAGAAGGAAAGGAGAGGGCGGGTGGGAAAGAAAAACAGAAAATAAGATACTGAGCCGAGCGACAATCTGTCGTGTCGACTAGAGCGCGAGGCGAAGTAAAATGATAGTTCAGTGGGAGAGACATGCATGAGTCGCCAAAGGGTGACTTCGCTCACGTGACCAAAAAGTGCGATCTGTGCGTGCACAGATCTTCACATTTTGCGTCTTCCGGTCGCTCGTCACCGGAGTAGGGAGTAGCCTAGAGGCTACGCTTGGGGGTGGAAAGAGGGCAATGGCCCGAAAACCACTGCCCCACTTCCCAGGTCGAGAGCCGATGGACGGAGGAGGATGCGCCCCCAAAGCGAGCGCAGCCGCCCAGCCGATGACGACCATCGGCTCGCCCCAACGGCGGTGGAGAGAAGCATAACTAAATAAATATATGAGTGCTCAGAGAGGGAGATAGAGATGTGATGAATGTGAATCTGCGGATGGACCAACACAACATCTTGAATTAAGGGGGTGGTGGTGGTTGAACAAGTGAGAGATATCAGGAGTGCGTATATTTAAGGAAAAGGAGAATCACCAAGTAAAAACCATTGAGATACGCAGAGGCGAAATGGTGAAGTAATTACATGGTAAGGAGAGACAGGGAAGAAGAACCCGTAAGGGTGTTATGACCGCATAGAGAGATCAAGGTTGATCCCTGAATATAAAACTAAATAAAAAACATACTCGCTATGTGCAAGATACAATAGCAAGGGGATTATGTGAGGGATATGGGTATGATAATGGCGCGACACACATAAATTCCATAAAATGGAGGGTTTGTGAGGCGCGATAAACTGGTGTAGGGGGCGGTTAAGCCAGGGGCATGTAAAGCCGATGTAGGGGGCATGAAGCCAGAGTAGGGGGCATGAAGCCAAATGTAGGGGGCGATTACGCCTGGGGGCACGTCTGCCAAGATGTAGGGGGCGATTACGCCTGGAGGCACAAAGCCAAAATGTAGGGGGCAATTACGCCTGGGGGCACGGAAAGGCCAATGTAGGGGGCACGTCTGCCAAGATGTAGGGGGCGATTACGCCTGGGGGCACGTCTGCCAAATGTAGGGGGCGTTTAAGCCAGGGGGGCACGTCTGCCAGATGTAGGGGGCATTGAAGCCAGGGGGCACAGAAGGCCAATGTAGGGGGTCCCGATATTCTGCAAGAGGTATAAATATCGAGCAGAAAATACCCCGACCAGGAGGGGATGGCGTCACAGCAAAAGAGAGGGGATAGGTGTCGTGCAAAGACACGTAGGCGTCATGCAGTGGACACGTTAACCCAGAATGCAATGATGAACCGCTTGTGGATAGGCCATAAAGCCATGCATGAGGTGTACACATCAAGCAGAGGGCGTCACCAACGAGTAGAGGCCACGGGTGCTATGCCAGCAGTGATGACGCAGAGCAAGATGCACCCGTTTCCGGTACAGGGGTGAGAGGTTACAACACGGGCAGCCGCACGACGTGCGTGAGTGCAGGGTGCTGAGCATAAACCATGCCATGGTTTGACCATCCTGGACAACCATAAAGTGGCATCCAGTAAACCTGTTGATAGAAAATGGTTAAGGTAGAATTACGAATCCCCAAAGTGAGGGATCTGGTAATTCGGAAAGGGGAGGAGAGAAGGAATATGCAAATAGATGATAGAGACAGCTCACCTGGGATCAGCTAGGCAGGCTGTTGCAATTGGTTGCCTGTATCTTGTGATGGGGATGGCTAATGTGAAGGCTGGGTATGACGTTAGTAGTCTGGTAATAAGAATGAAAGGAACAGCTTAGGGAATAATTATGATAAGGTGAGGATGATGAATTGGGCGATGCGATGGATTGAGTGATATGCGTCCTGAGAGCGGATTGTGTCGGGTCATCGTCCTGCAAGTTCGGCTTAGCTGGTACTGAATGTAGTGAATTATGAGTGGGCTGTAGAGAAAAAGCTCAGCATGGTCCAGAAAATCCAAAGCTCATCTGATGTAAATTATGATGCATAGACTCGAATTTTAGGACGAGTGCTTGTTGGTCAGTTGGTCAGTTTATCCTTGCTGCCAGCTCAGAGAGCCTGATCGGGTGCGAGAGGGTTGAGTGTTGGAAAAGGGTTGGTGAGCTGGCAAGTCGGGTGGGTGTTATTTTCTGGGCTTTAGTGAGTTTTGTGCGGACAGTAGGGCAGAAATAAAAACAGAAAATAAGATACTGAGCCGAGCGACAATCTGTCGTGTCGACTAGAGCGCGAGGCGAAGTAAAATGATAGTTCAGTGGGAGAGACATGCATGAGTCGCCAAAGGGTGACTTCGCTCACGTGACCAAAAAGTGCGATCTGTGCGTGCACAGATCTTCACAGTCGAAGTTGTGCTCGAACCGATTATCACAACCATCAAAAAATTCGCTGGAAGCAGGATTTGAACCTACGCGGTGAAACACCAAGTGATGAATTTGAGATTGAACTGGTTTTAAAGCCCAAGAGTTCAAATCACTCGCCTTAACGACTCGGCCATTCCAGCACGGATGGCGAATGGTGAAGTTAGGTAGAAAACGTCGGGTACAGCTCAAATTTGACGTAACAATCTCGAAGTGCTCAAAACAACAACCTCTTTGAGATCTGTTAACGGTGATTTCAGTTCTGTGCAGGGACATGACGAGTTATTGTATTACAGCGTAATGGAAATGAGGGGTAGGTGACAAGAGACAGGAGTGATTAGCTACATGGGAAGTTGAAATGCTGGTGAAGCTCAGCGCTTGGATGTAAACCATTTCTCCCGGAGAGCCTTTGCTTCTTCCCAAATGCGACGAGGTAAATCCCTAACTGCGGTACGTGGCACATGACGCTCCGGGGTCGTAATCGAGGTTGACACTAATTTGGGCTCTGGAAGCAGGGAGTCTAGATCTGGGGGTGGTTGCTGTGGTTCTGGTTCGAGCATCGAACGCATGCGTGAGGGACGCTTGAGAGTAACATCAATCTCTTGGCGTAGTCGTCCTGCTGCATCTTCAAGGCCAGGCAATTCTCCAAAATCGTCAAACTGCCTAACAAATTTGGCCAATATTTCTTCATTTTTGTTGAGATTTCGTTCCAGAATTTCCCGTAGGCTTGGGTTAGTCCGAGCCTCGTGTTGGGCTAGGTCTTCTTCAATATTTCTCTTCTCCTGGAGAGCGTTCTCAATCCGCTCATGTAGGTCCCGATATAATTGTGGTGAGCGATAGTTCAGACCAGTGAAAGGCACGCTGTGGTTAGGTACAACCCCTGCGTTCAAGATCTTCATTGCAGAATACTTAGTGTTTGTAAATTTCTCGATTTGAGCACCATGATCAATAAATTCCTGTCAACGATTATGTCAGTAGGTCTCAATCTTAATGAATAGCTGGAAATCTAAAGTGCTTTAATACCTTCAAGTACTTGTCACATAATTGCTCGAAATTTGATTGTGCCCGTCTGTGAGCTCGTTCGCTGGACAGCGTATCCCACATAGTGGTTACAAATGATAGGCGTTGGAGTCCGCTCTCAGAATCGTTGTTTCCCTTGAGAAACGCTGTGAGCATTTCTATCGTTTTTCGCTTGGTCCCAGCCAGTCGTGTCCCGTTAATCGGGGTAAGATACAAGATCCTATGCACATATGGTAAACTGATGGGCCCAACGTCTTGAGGTGTGAACAGATACGGAGCGTGTTCGAATAACTTACCCTTCTTTCTTCAGCCAATCGCGTGTCATGTCCATGATTTCCCTCTCCGAAAACTGGGTATCGGCGAATCCAGGGGTGTCTGCGAGATAGAGCGGGCCTCCGAGCAGGTTGGTATTAACCAGTCTGAATGCTGAGATTTGTTGAGTGTAGCCAGCGAGTTGATTGCTACTCAGTGACATATTTTGCGACGGTCCTGCTAGGGCTTCCACAAACTTGACGTGTAGGGCGATGATAGTGAATTATCAGGTGAGCCTGGATGACAGATCGAAAGAACGAGCGGCACTCACGCTACTTTTGCCCGCTCCAGTAGGACCTAAAATCCTACAAAATAGTTGACGAATGTGTAATTGGTGGTATATCGATATCAGATCCTCACAGAACCACAAAACGTCCACTTCCACGACTGTGCTCTTCATGGCTAACGGATTCATAGGGCTCGAGAGATATGTCTCCAGTAACGTTGATATTGTCCGGATGCTCCATGATGGTGTTATGGGTATTGAGTGAATGTGACAGTTGGAGAGAGTATGATTGATAAAAGGAATGCGCCTGAGCTTCCGCGAAGACCAGAAGATAGGTCAGGGTCAAGCAAAGAGTGTATTTATTGCGACTTGATGATCAATCGATTATGCTTCAGAGGTTCACACGTGTGTAGCACAGGACGGCGGTCTTGCAGGGCCTGGCTGGATATGGGACATGCCTGGGATTGCACTGGTGCTAATATTAGTCGAGATGTGACTTATCTTGCAGGTGAAGACAATATTGATAAGAATAGAAATCGTGCGGCTCAACACGGCTCGGTAAAGTGGTAGCAGGAGGGTAGTAGAGCAAAGTATCGTGCCCCTCGTTCCGGTTGCCGGCTCGCGATTGGGGATGACGACGATGACGGTTCTAGACTGGGTGAGTGGGTAGAGACGACAAACATTAAAGTTAGAAGGGGGAATTGCTACATTAATCACCTAGAGTTTCATGCATGCGTGTCAATAAATGGAGGTAATATGTGTTGAATCGCTCGTAGCAGAGGTGGGAAATGATATTGAGATTGATACAACTCGTAAGATTAAGACCTAAGGAGAGAGCCTGGGTCAATGAAACGAGAAAATGGAGCATCAGTTAATATATACGCATACAGACATCGTAATGACGGCTCTCGCCCTCGACGAAGCTCTTTGCCCTGTTGGTGATGGTGTTGATGAGAACGGGGGTTAATGCTGATCAGAAAGAGTGAGATAAAGAGCGCCCACAGCTGCCAACAATGGATATGTGAGCATTGAGTTAACCAAAATCGTATGTGAACCACGAGAACAGAACAGAAACAGAAACAATAGGGGCTCGGTGGTAGCGGGTACCAGAACATCCTGATGTGAGGTGCCAGGGCTGAGAAGCAATAAAAACCCAGGTTATTAGAGCAAATTAGGCGTTCAAGTGCCTCTAAAAAGTGGATAGGTCAAGAGAGCTTAGACCAGGTTCCTATCGTTGTACTCAGCTTTGGAAGTCAGTAGAGCGACAGTTATCATCAAATAGAAGGAAAGTAACATGACAGAAAAAACGAGGATGGGATTTACAGACTTGAATGAAGGATTTGAATGAACAAGCTTGAAAGGGGGGAGCTGGACGCCATGGTAGTTGAACGTTGAACGTTGAACAACAAGAACCTGGTTTAGAGAAAGGCTGATGCCCATGGCGTTGGATATACAGACAACACCATTGTCCGCGTCCGCCGCTAGTCATCAATCATCATCTGAGAGTTTGTAAGAGTTATGGCCCACTATACATAGGCTGCTGCTACAAGTTCCTTCGGGTTAGTCTCTGTCATGGGGTAGCAATTATTTTATGACATTTAAATATAGAAAAAGGGGGGGGGGGACACCCCAGTAAGAGGTGGGTCACTACGACGTAGATAGAGAGGGACATACGGTGCCGAATGTGTAATGACCATACCAGTACAGTAGACACCTGGGCTACTCAGAGAGGAAGTGTAGGTGAAGGGCAAATGCTAATTAGAAATGGAAATGAGCCGGAACTGCACCGCAAGTCCAGAGAACAATTTAGCGCTTTGACCCAAACCATTTCTTCCAGGGCCGCATTGCTCCTTCCAGCGTGCGACGAGCATTTTCTTTCAGAATGGCCTTCGATGAGGCATGACGCTCTGGGTTTACGATGGGAGCCAATATCAATTCGGGTTCTGTGGGACCCTGTTCGAGAACTGGAGCATTGGTTGCCTCGACGATATTGATTTCCTGACGAAGGTGCTGTGCCCAACCCTCAAAACCTTCAGGAGGGTCTCCGTAGTCGAGAAGTTGTCTGGTAAACTTGGTCAAAATTTCGTCCTTTTCACGGAAAGTGCTCTCCAAAATGTTTCGCAGATTTAGGTTGGTCTGAACTTCAGATTGGGTCAAGTCATCTTCGATGTTCTTCCTTTCCTGAAGAGCGTTCTCGACCCGCTCACATAGATCTCGGTAAAGCTGTGGTGTGCGAAACCGCAGGTCGGTAAATTGTGTGGTGTCGCCAAATACCACGCCTGCGTCCAAGATCTGTATTGCGGACAACTGGGTGTTCGGAAATTTCTCGATCTTAGCACCGCCGTCGATGAAAAGCTGAATAAATATGTGTCAGTTGTTGACAGCCAGTGAATCAATCAATACCTTTAACTGCTTATCGCGCAACTCCTCGAAGTTTGATTGTCCACGCCTGAGTGCTTGTTCGCCGTATAGCGTATCCCACATAGTGGTTACGAATGTTAAGCGCCTGACTCCGTTCTCATTGGGATGCGTGGATGACTTGAGAAACGTTATGAACATTTCCATTGTTTTCCGCCTCGTTCCCGGTAATCTTGTTCCGTTGATGGGGATAAGATATAGAATTCTATTGACCTGTGGTAGCCTAATCGGACAATAGTTTGGCTGATCATTCACTAAGAGAGTATTCCAATGGCTCACCCCTTCAGAGCTACCCAAGTATTCACCATGTCGAGAATCTCTTTCTCCGAGAATTTGCTGTCCGAAAATCCTGGGGTGTCGACGAGATAGAGTGGACCTCTACGCACGTTTGCGTTGACCACCCTGAACGCGCTGATGTGCTGAGTATAGCCAGCGAGTTTATCGCTACTCAGTGACAAAGTTTGCGACGGTCCTGCGAGGGCTTCTACAAACTTGATATCAAGTGGGGATAAAGGGGGTATATTGCATACACCGTCGCAGATGAATCACAGGACACTCCACTTACGCTACTTTTTCCGGCTCCGGTGGGTCCCAAAATTCTAGGTACGAATATGTATTTCAGGGGTGTATGCTTTGAAAGTCAAGTAAAACAGAATACCCACAGAACCACAAAACGTCCACCTCCAGAGTGGTGATCTTCGTCACTGACGGACTCATAAGGCTGAAGAGAGATTTCGCCGGTAACCTCGATGTTCTTCAGATTCTCCATGGTATTACAGCCAGTGAGTAGAATTAGCGTAGTGGTTAGAGTAGTGAAACGAGTCTGAACTACGAATTCCACGAAGGCTAGTAGTAGTGTTGATGGCTGAGAAGATAGCGCAAAGATAGCGTCCCTGCACCATGGCCAATATTTACACGTGTCGTGTGGACTCGCGAGCTATTGTAATTTTCCTGACAAGGGGGTGGCTGACATATCGACGCATGCGAGGATAGTTTCGGAGTGCGATGATGTCGCGTTGGTGAGCCTGGTTGTGTGGCGACACCATTAGATATGTGGGGAGTATATCGTTTTGGGGTTGTACTTTAGTGATGAAATTCATGGATAATCAAGGCTTGGATGAGGGCCATGACCTACATGTACTTGCGTTTGTTTTGCCCAAATATCAC